CCTGGTGATGGGTATTAAAGAGGGCACGTTCTGCATGGAGCACTGGGTGTTATGCACAAACAATGAATCATGGAACACTACATCAGAAACTAATGATGTAATGTATGGTGATTAACATAACATAGTAAAATAAAATTTAAAAAAAAGTCTCCTGCACTGAAGGAGAGAGAAAGCCATGGCCGGGAAATAAAGGGGGAAATACAGTTGGCAAAAGAGGGAGAGCATGTATGCAAAAGAGGGAATGGATGCCTGAGAAGACAGTGAGGATGGAACACAAGGGAAGAGGGAAGAGTGGAGAATTCTGTTAACAGGTGAGTCTGAGGAGTTGCCACCTCATGAAGATTCTTTCTAAGAGACAGCGCCTTTTGCCTGAGGATTCTGTTTGCCATCCGTTGGTGCAGAAAAGCATCCAGCAAAGTGAGGACTCGCGCCGAGGCGAGGATCTTAGCTGGGAGCCTTGCCGCAGCAGCAACAGTGGCTGTCACAGAAAATCTGAGGAGCAATGCTTACACGGAAGAATGAAAGTTCCCTTCTCCTGGGCCAGGACAGTAGCTGGCCTGTCGACACCAGCTCAGGGCCCTCCTTGGTGCTCACTGCTGCATCTCATCAGTGGTAAATGCTTCAGGATTCATGGGGGATTGCCAGCTGTCATTTCCATATCGCTGGCCCACCCGAGCGGCCACAGACCCTCTCAACTTGACTTCCAGCCAAAAGCATCGGCCAGGAGGTCATCTGACGGCTGCAGGCCATTCTCCTCCCAGCAAACGCCCCACTCCTTATTCTGTGATTCAAGCCTGAGACAGGGAGCACTCTATCCCCTACTCAGATTAGAAGGTTATCCACAATTTTTTTCCAGAATGATTTCACCTTCATTCTCTCCTGGAAAAACAGAGAAGGCAGCAGAAAGGCTGGTTTCTGCCTATCTGCTGATCTCGAGATATCACAATCGAGAATGAGAACCCTACCAAATTCCAGGTAAGCCTTCATTCCATTCACTGAACTTTGACATGTGATGCCAACGAGTGGTATTTACCTTTGGGAAAATCCATTGACTTCTCAGACCTGTGGTTTGTTAGCTATATACCAGCAAGGACTGTTAAGGCGTCTTCCAGCTCTACAATGACAGAATTCATTGGGTCCATGGTCACAGGAGGTACTTTTTGGTCCAGACCAGGACTATGGTGATATCACCTTAACTGGTCTTCTTGCTTTTGACCTCATATTACCACAGTTCATCCTAAAATTGCTACCAGATTAACCTTTGTAATCTATACCTCTGAACACACCATTCCACTGACCAAAATTTTCGCAAGGCTCCTAATTACGAAAACAAAACTCATTCTGCCTAGCAAACAGTGAAAAACAATCAAGATCAGATTCCACAAATATACACAGAATTAACTTTATAAAATTTGAGTTTCAGCCAAATGGACACATTCTCAACCGTGTAAACACGGTTTTTCTAACTTTATATTATCGTTTATGACATTCCTCTTGTGTGAAGTATGAAGTGTGACCCTCCAAACAGAAATATGACATAAATCCTTTAAGGTCAAGGTGAAATCATTTCATAAGATCTCCATCTCCTGAACTTTGGGCTGCCAATTTCATATAATGCATCCAGCTACTTCAACTGGATATCTATTTATGTGTGAGTGAGGCACTGACTTTTTGGCGTCTCTTAGACTACTGGTGAACTCATGTGCATTTATCTTCTCTTCCCACATGGACTGAGTGTTCCTTGATAAAGTTATTTTAGATCAACACTGAACTATGATGAGCACCTAAAACAGATGTGGGCTAATGTATTTTTTTTTTAATCTCATTGGACGCGCACCTGCAAGTATACTGATCCGTACAAATGCATCTTAAGGCAAAGAGAGCCAACACCAAGTACTGTGCACAAGTCCATGGCTGAGTTGGGGCCACAACTCAGATGTCCTCTCGTCACTCCTCCACAGTTGTCCACTCTGCCACATTGATTGTGGGAGGCACTGTTGGAAGTGCTGGGACATGAAGGGTTACATTTCTGGGCATCTCCTCCAGCACAACTCCAGAGATGCATAGTTTTCCTTTAGGCAGGTAAATCTGGCCCTCGCTATGCCTCTGGCATCAGGGGGAGCATTAACCAACCGTCAAATAAAATACAATAGCCCAGGGGATTAAATTACTACTCTGTGTCCTGAGCTGCTCAGCCTCGCCTCTGGTAACTGCACCATCTTGGACCAGATGCACGGTGGCTTGACTCCAGGAACAGAATTGTACGTTCTGCTGAAAGGGTAGGCAGGCTGCTTAAGAGGAAAAAAATACCAATTGTAAATCTTTTCTATGTTTAGGCTCAATGTGCATTTTATTTGGCAGTAAGGGCAGCATAAATAAAATTCCAATCCTGAGAATTTTAATTTTAATTTGCTTCCTCCAAAATGCCCATGTCCGTACGTCCATCAGTCCCCTCCCTTCAGGAAGAACCCCACACACCTACATTTTCCCAACAGAAAAAAACCCTTGAGTACCCTCCTCACTAACATTTCTTTAAATACGTGTAATTTCTAGCATAAGATGCCTATAAAAATAATTTGCAGGATAACTTCACTGAATCACGCACTTCACAAAGAACATTCCAGGGTTGCACCTATTTCCCAGTTGGCTTTTATGGCTAGAGTCTGATATTTGCCTGTGAATCTTTTATTTAATTATATTTGCTGTTTCTAGCCTTACATTCTACCTGAAAATGTAAGTTTTTTTTTTTTCTTAAAGATTTTATTTCTTTGACAGAGAGAGGGAACACAAGCAGGGGGAATGGGAGAGGGAGAAGCAGGCTTTCCATTGAGCAGGGAGCCTGATGTGGGGCTCGAATCCAGGACCCTGGGATCATGACCTGAGCTGAAGGCAGACACTTAATGACTGAGCCGCCCAGGTGCCCCCTGAAAATGTAAGTTTTTTAAAAGCAGGAGCTAAAGGTATTTTACAGTACATCTGTAGTATAGAGTACATAATATGTATCCCATAAAATACATATACATATCACACACGCACACACAACCTCATTAAATGCTTTCTTAAAAAGTAGACTTCTCCTTCAACGCAACCACCAAGAGCAGACAAATCCTGACATTACTTGACTCTGAATAATATTATCTATGGACATTATTTTTTTTTTTATAAGATTTTATTTATTTGAGAGAGAGAATGAGATAGAGAGAGAGAGAGCACAAGCAGGAGGGAGGGGCAGAGGGAGAGGGAGAAGCAGACTCCCTGCTCAGCAGGGAGCCCGATGTGGTACTGGATCCCA